AAATCCCAGTTAAAGTTTCATTTTTTTTTTTCAAAGTTCACGCTGAATTCTTCGCGCATGAAGGTTGTGTACAAATTTGAAAAAATATTTCCCGCATTTTCGTGACATGGGCTTGATGAAAATTTCTGAAACTTTGTATGTTACAGCTACGATCCCGCAGATGAGGTAGCATACTTCATTTACTGTAAATACAGAGGATCAAGCAGACGCCGTCAAAATTTGTGACGTCATGGTGTTTGGTACGGGGATGTCAAGGTGGCGTCTCTACTCTCATTTTCTTTTCACGCTTTTTCTCACTTACCAAGCGTCACGTCGTGGTAAGAGTGGTGTTTTCGCGTTTGGGAAATTGTTATTTTATTAATACACGAAAAATTGTTTTGCTCTTTAGTGTCCCGTTAACACGTAATTAAGTTTCGTGCTTGTTTCTAGCTCGCCCAACCATGAAGCACAACTGGTCGCGTTACTCAAGAGCACCAGCTGACTCAGTGAGAGCGTCACTCTTCAAAGCAGATGGGTTTCCGCTTTTCGAGTGAAAACAGACTCGATTTGTTACTCTGCAGAACATAGCGGCATCAATATTTCTTCATATGAAAGAGGTTGATGCTGCCAGACAGACTACTTGGACGACGAGTTTCTCATCATCTTATTCTGAGTCAGTCACTTTGGTCATCCGGTGAAACGTTTATTTAGTCGACGTCATCTGTTTGCTCTCCTAATTAAACCTCCATTATTCTCAATTGAAAAACTGCTATAAGCTTAAGAATTCCAGTGTGTCTGTGGGCGAAGATTTTTCACTCCGTGTGCGTAACATCCGGAAAAAACTTTGGGACAGCACCAAGAGGAACCGAGAAAAGGGTGAAAAAGTCACACTTGTGTACGACAAGATAAAGATAAACGGTCAACTGTATGTCTGGGACGAACATAAAGAAGCGAGGGCAGACGTGGGAAAGAAATCTGCTGTCCGGAAGGCAAAAAACTGAGTGAAATTAAAACGCCCCTCTGCCTAGTGATAGCAAACCTAAACGCCAGAAGTGTTGTTAACAAAAGTACCCAACTTGAAGCATTCATACTAGAACATCAGCCCGATATTGTGACAATAACAGAAACAGGGTTTCTCCTAAGATTTCAAGTAACAATATATTCCCTCCTGGTAATACTGTCATACGTAAAGATAGGTGCTCACAAGGGGGTGGTATAGCAATTTTGATAAAAGAAAATATCTACGTCACACCTATGCGTGAAGTTGTTGGTGCTGAAGTACTTTGGTGTAAATTAACGACAGATAAATCCTTCCTCTATTTAGGCACAATGTACCGGCCACCAAATGCTTCGCGTGATGTATTACATGTACTACCAAATTATATGGAAGCTCATTTCACGCAGTCTACAAAGATAATCCTTACGGGGGATTTCAACTTCGCTGGTATAACATGGGATTCCCTTGATGATACTGCCGACACTGATAATACAGATGAGCTGCTTGATCTTTGTTGTTAACTTTAGCCTTAGACAGCTTATTCGAAAACCAACACGTGTTACAACAAAACGCAGTAATGTACTTGGCTTGATATTTGTGAGCGATAGCATAGCAGAAAACCGGATTTCATGGGAAGTTGTGAGGGGCATATCGGACCACAAAGCGACTAAATGCTTCTTGTTGTTGGGCACACCGCTGCCTAAGCATAAAGGAAGTACACGAATTTTCGACTGGGTGAATGCCGATGACGTGAGCCTTCTTGACTACCTGGATGAATCTTATTCCACCTTTAGTTCGTTCTCGCAGGATGATACAGTTTCAGTAGATGAATTATGGACAACCTTTGAAAGAATCGTTCAGCACTGCTTATCAAAATATGTTCCCACAAAGATCAAACCAGTCCGCAAGACAAACCCTTGGATAACAAAAAAAATATACAACTAAAACGAAAGCTTGCCAGATTAAGGAAAATGAGAAATAAACTATTGTTGCCAGGCTGTACGGCTAAAATAAGTGAGCATTCTCGTGCACTAAAATCTGCTTTAAAAGTGGCAAAGGATGAGTATATGAATGTAACCTCGAGTAAATTTATCAAAGAATCCCCTTCTAAGTTTTGGCGGTACCTTAATTCGAAGCCACATCAGATCAGTAACCCAACCCCGGCTGAAGCTACTGAAAAGGCTACACAGTTTAATGATTACTTTGTTTCAGTATATACACGTGACAACGGTAAGAACCCCGACCTCGGTTATCTTCCATGTAACACTGCCAAACTAGGCGACTTAATCCTAACTGAATCGGACATTTTTTGCCTATTACTCGAAATAGACCCTAAAAAATCCTGTGGCCTCGACAACATACCGAATGAATTTCTGAAACGCTACGCAGAATGGATGTCAAAGTTCTTACTGATCATATATAACAAAACATTAAAAACTTGTGTAATCCCGGAGAAATGAAAAATAGCCAAGGTTATTCCTATCCACAAATCCGGTGACCTTACGAACACATCAAACTACCGACCAATCTCGCTTACTTGTACGGCCGGAAAAATTCTTGAACATCTAATCCTGAAACACATTGTATCATTCGTAGAAAAAAAAAACAACTTAATTGTCGCGAATCAGCATGGCTTTCGGAAAGGACTGTCTACAACTACTCAACTAGTTGAAACAATCCACGACCCAGCACTTACAATGGACAAAGGTGGCCAAACAGATATAATTTTCTTAGATCTATCAAAAGCATTTGACCGCGTTTCCCATCCTAAGTTGCTTCAGAAACTTACGCATTACCTCGGAGATAACAACATCATCAAGTGGATAAAAAGTTATCTTACAGGAAGACGCCAGTATGTTCATTACAAAGACCACTATTCGGATTACGGCTATGTGCTGTCTGGTGTTCCACAAGCTGCCGTTCTAGCTCCTATGCTTTTTCTTCTTTTTATTAACGATTTGCACATCAATTGTATCGCAACACTGAGAATGTTTGCAGATGACTGCATAATATATAAGCAAATCACTGGCCACGAAGATCAGATGATTCTAAACAGAGCATATAACACATATAACACAGTGGTGTCAGACTTGGCAGATGATGCCTAACGCAGATAAAACAGTTTGTATGACCGCGACAAATAAAAGAATGCCCATGAACCTCCACTATTATTTAGAAGGACAGATGTTAAGGAAAGTAGAAGAATATAAATATTTAGGTGTCATAATTTCGTCAGATCTCAAATGGGACAAGCAAATAACATACGTTGTTAACAAAGCACTGACCGTTTTGTACTCATTGAAACGTTCGCTTAGATGCGCATCCGTAGATACTAAACGCCAAGCATACTTGTCACTGGTTCGATCAACACTGGAATATGCAATAATATGTTGGTTTCCCTTCCGCAAACATTACATAGCAAAGTTGGAGGGTGTACAAAGAAAGGCACTTAGGTTTATCTTTAATAAGTATCGTCGTCACGACTCTACGACTGAACTATTAAAGCAAGCCGCTTTACCCACTATACAAGATCGAGCCAGACTGGTTCGCCTTAAGTTTCTTTTCCTTCTTCTTAATGGCAGCATGAAGATCAATGCGAACAACTGTTTACTACTCTCGGGTACAATCAGTTCCCGAACTAAACATACCAAGCACTTAGCTGAATACAGGTTTCACATTTTCAGGTATTCTTTTTTCCCCGCAAGCAATTCGAGATTGGAATGGCCTAACAAACGATGCTATCAAGTGTACATCACTCGAAGCTTTTATCTCCAAGATATCAGGCGATGCTTTATAGTTATCATCTCCAAGCAAGATTTCTGCGTTACACAATACTAATATGTTTCACTTCTCAGTTTCTTTTTTACTGCCTGGAAATTGCGCTACTCATGAATTATGCTGTACTTGTCGGGCATTACACTGAGTGTGTTGGATGTCATATTGTCATTTTTGTAGCGATTGTATAATTTGTTGCCTAGTGCATATGTACTGTCTAGTCGAACCTAACTTATATTAGTGCCTACTTAAACTGTGTTCTTTTGTATATGTATCTCCATTCTAATATGCTTTTTATTACTACCATCATTTAGTAGCCCTTGTATAGTTAATGTAAAGAACATATGCATTGTCTGATTCAACCTTACCTATGTATACGCCTTCTTGTAGATACCCCCTTTCCTGCAACAGCCTCAGATGTGAGGCTAGCAGTATCTTCAAATAAATAAATAAATAAATAAATAAAAACGTCTACGCCTCCGAGCTGATAACTGTGCTAAGTAAAAATTTCTTTACTGCACCTATCTATCTATCTATCTATCTATCTATCTATCTATCTATCTATCTATCTATCTATCTATCTATCTATCTATCTATCTATCTATCTATCTGTCTGTCTGTCTGTCTGTCTGTCTGTCTGTCTGTCTGTCTGTCTGTCTGTCTGTCTGTCTGTCTGTCTGTCTGTCTGTCTATCTATCTATCTATCTATCTATCTATCTATCTATCTATCTATCTATCTGTCTGTCTGTCTGTCTGTCTGTCTGTCTGTCTGTCTGTCTGTCTGTCTGTCTGTCTATCTATCTATCTATCTATCTATCTATCTATCTATCTATCTATCTATCTATCTATCTATCTATCTATCTATCTATCTATCTATCTATCTATCTATCTATATCTATCTATCTATCTATCCATCTGTCTGTCTGCATGTCTGTCTGTCTGTCTGTCTATCTATCTATCTATCTATCTATCTATCTATCTATCTATCTATCTATCTATCTATCTATCTATCTATCTATCTATCTATCTATCTCAAAACTAGATATAGCTAACACAAATAAATAAATAAATGGTAATCGCGGCACTTGTACACTTGTAGGACAGCTCTTAGTACTCACGAGTATGTGCCCGCTCGCCGCCATATGGAAAGAATGGTTAATATGTTGACTAGTCACTTGGAGCAATACCACTCCTTGACGTCTAGAAGGGGGAGTAGGAAATGGGAGATAAGAGGTATTTGTGAACTCACAATTTCGAAAGATTCCTTCGAATAGCCGTTCAGCAGGTTACCTCCCGAACGAAGATCGCTCGACAGTAGGTGCCGGAGCACGATGCACGATTCGACGGCGTGTTTCCTGCACATTGTCATTGTCATCATCATCATAATAAACAACAACTACCACTACATCAGCATGAACCTGACTACATCCGCTGCAAGGCTAAGCCCTCTCCTGTACATCAATGATACCAATAGGCACGTTTTCAGCGTACTCATACTCAAAACAAACATGGCCACAACCAAAGCATCCGAGTAAAAAAAAATATGGAAAGAAAGACAGAAGGAAGAAACGAGGAAGGAAGAAGAAGGAAGGAAAGAAGGAAGGAATGAAATAAAGAAAGATAAATAAGATACAGTTCACAAGCTGAAACAACACTACTTGGTTTCTTTATGGTCACGCACATGCTGAGCGTTTCCAGTGAATGCCGTAACCATGTGTTTTAGACCCTTCTTTCTCGGGAATCCAGTCCGAATTTTTTTTTCAATGCTCGTATATGATCCTGTGAGGACAATGAACATTTGTTAGCTTTTAACCGGCATCCCAAATGCAGCGTTAATATGTAAGTGTCCTGGTGCCAAGCAAACGCGAACTGGAGCATAGGAAAATATTGCTAACTGTAACGTGGTCGCCTTCGCATGCTTTATTTCGCAATTGTAGTGTCTCTTATAGTATGTAATTGACTTTCTTCAGTAGCTTCGGGAACAGCAGTTGACATAGTGTGCCTATGTGAGCAGTCACGGGATCAATTTCCGAGTAAGTGCACTAGGAGAGCTTCGTGGAACAAGTGCTTAAAAATGGCACTCTGGAAAAATAGAATAAAGTGAAACACTTAGACATTATTGTAGGCAGAGAATCTCAAGTAACCGTTGCTCTCATAGGGGGAACTGGTGGGTGTAACCGTTGCTCTCGGGGACAAACTGGAAGGGACCAACTGTTCATCCCCTGAAGGAGTAACTGAAAGAAGAGGAACGGTTCGTCCCCTTGCAGTTGCTCCTTTAGGGGAGCAATGGGAGTGGCAATGCAGTTACTCCCTGAAAGGAGGAACCTCTATACCTCCATTGCTCTCTTTTAGCTTAGAGTGTATGTATTATGCGCAACGTGTGTATGGTCAATGTGAACAGCTGATTGTTAACTGTCCCGTGGTAAGAGAACGTGAGCGCTCGTCAAACAGCTCCCTAAGAGCATCGACGTTCAGCCAATACAGTGGAGGCTTTTTCACTTCCTATTTCTTCTCGAGATAATGAATATACAACGCTGGTTTCGAAGGTCTACGTCCTCAGGCTCTTTTTCCCAGAACGTGAGCGAGTCAAGGCTGTTCCGTTACGCAGCTTAAATAACAAAAATACACTGAAAGAAGGGAAAAACAAGAGGTGCGTCGTACTTCTGTCGGCACAGTTCGATCGCTTCGTCGGCGATCGGCTTGAGCAGAATGAGCTTCTTGCCCCTCCAGCTCCCATCTGTAAGAAAAGAAAAAAGAAAAAAAAGGAGGGAAGGAGATTAGCGTGTACTAAAGAGGCTGCGCTGCTCGCCTTACTACTACGTTTACTTGGGGTCATCATCACGTGAAGACCATTACGCTGTCTAGGATAAGAAAGAAGAAAGAAAGAAAACAGATGCAGGAAGGTGAGTATGGAAATTTGAGAGAAGTAGCGCTAAAAACGGTCCAGTCGCCACTCGTTTGGCAGTCATCCTGTGCACGTGGACTTCGTTTCCGTATTGTTTGGAGGCCGCGCCTGTCGCCGTTTTATTAATTGCTTTCCTTGTTTGTTAGATGCATCTCGGAGGTGGTAGCGTGGTCGAAGGAAGTAGCTGAGTGATGTTGCTAAATTATGTGCCGTCGCAATACCTGTTTATCCGAGGAGGCTACAGGGGAGATGACCCGATCAAGAACGGCACGCAAACCTCGAGGCACGTAGTATCTGCCAGTCTTTATTACATGCTTACTGCATTCTAGCATGCATTGTGAATAAAAAAATAATAAAAAATGCTCACATATGGTTCGACGAAAAAAAAAAGGACTTAGTCTACATCCCTCCGTACTTACCAGTCCCTAGACGCATAGTATCACTATTCGTCAGCAAAACGCTTAGGAGGGAGAAAGCCCAGTATGTTGAATCGAAAAAGGTTATGTTTGGATAGGTAATCGTACGAGGCGTCATTTGTTTCGTGCAGTGCTTATGGATCGATGTGCTCTTGCGTAGAGAGAGTGAAGAGATTCGTAATAAGGTAACGATTAGTCTGGCATGCAATGGTATACACTGCTATGTCCGAGTGCCAGGAAGGGAAAAAAAACTGCGTGTCGTAATCCAGGCGTTGTGAATCAAAGAATGTTAAGGTGTCATCTATGAATGGTAAAAAAACGTTGCGCAATTAAAATAGATCTCAATTCATAAAATCTTTCTTTCTTTCTTTCTTTCTTTCTTTCTTTCTTTCTTTCTTTCTTTCTTTCTTTCTTTCTTTCTTTCTTTCTTTCTTTCTTTCTTTCTTTCTTTCTTTCTTTCTTTCTTTCTTTCTTTCTTTCTTTCTTTCTTTCTTAGTCCCGCCGCGGTAGTCTAGCGGCTAAGGTACTCGGCAGCTGACCCGCAGGCCGCAGGATTGAAGTCCGGCAGCGGCCACTGCCTTTTCGATGGAGGTGAAAATACTGTAAACCCGTGTGCGCAGGCTTGGGTGCACGTTAAAGAACCGCAGGTGATCGAAGTCCTTGGAGCCCTCCACACTACGGTGTCTCTCATAATCGTTATGGTGGTTTGCGACGTTAAACCTATCTATCTATTCTATCTATCTATCTATCTCTATCTACTATCTATCTATCTATCTATCTATCTATCTATCTATCTATCTATCTATCTATCTATCTATCTATCTATCTACATCTATCTATCTATCTATCTATCTATCTATCTATCTATCTGTCTGTCTGTTGCTGTCTATCTACAAATCTATCAATCAATCTATCAATCGATCAATCAATCTATCAATCTATCAATCTATCTATCTACCATCTATCTATACTATCGATCTATCTATCTATCTATCTATCTATCTATCTTCTATCTAGCTATCTATCTATCTATCTACTATCTAATCTATCTATCTATCTATCTATCTATCTATCTATCTATCTACCAATCTATCCTAATCATCATCAAATCTATCAATCAATCTATAAATCTATCAATTATCAATCTATCTATTACCAATCTATCCAGCTATCTATCTATCGATCTATCTATCTATCTATCTATCTATCGATCATCTATCTATCTATCTATCTATCTATCTATCTATCTATCTATCTATCTATTCTATCTACTATCTGTTCTTTCTTTCTCTCTTCGTCTACTCTCAGGAAGCATTGTTCAAATAATCAACACTTGCCATGTGCGCTTTTTTGCTTTGTCATCCCAATGTGTTTTACTAGCACAATCAGGGACACCTTTGGCAGTACTCTGAACTAAAGAAACATCTCAAAATTTATTTAGAATTTTCACGCAACATGAAAGTCATTTTTTATCTGGTGCACTAACACAAAGGACGGCAACGAGACTACAGGATACTATATCATCATTTCAAGCAGTAGTACCTGAATTTAAACAATGGAAACCTTCAAAACCACCTTGGACGCTGCCACTTCTCAACGTTATCCGTGAAATAGACGGCATAGAGAAGAAAGCAGACATGGCACCTCTAGTAGCGGCACAGTTGGTACTTCATCAGCTTCATGTAATGCATAATGAAAAAACGAAGGTATATACCGATGGATCATGCACAGAAGAAGCGTCAGCCTGTGCGGTCTTTATACCCGAAATTCTGATAAAGAAGATGTACAAATTATCACACAAATCTTCATCGACGACAGCAGAATCGGTGGCTATCTTTGAAACAGTTAAACTTATCTGCGAGAATCCTGAGCCACGAAAATGGGTGATATGCACTGATAGCAAACCTGCTCTTTAGCTAATCAGAAATGTGATATCACCTTACAAAAATGGTGAAATAGCACAATGTATCGCAGAAACTGTGGAATATGCCTCATCGCAGGGTCACAACATCGTTTTCCAATGGATACCCAGCCACATTGGAATAAAGGGAAATGAAGATGCTGATGGCCTCGCAAAGAAAGCATTGAAGGAAGGACGGGATTGCGCAATTTCTATGTCTGGGGCGGATATTCAACATTTTATATCGCAAGGAGCTAACCATTGTTCGATGGAGAAGTAGTTTGAGAGCCCTAAATCAAAAGAAACGGTACTTTATGAAGTTGATTCACACAGAAAATTTTCCACAGCGACAGATCTCCCACGACACCTAGAGACATTGATCCACCTACTTAGATTGGAAGTAGCATACACAAACAGCTTCCTGCACAAGATACATCAATACAACTCACCGGAATGCAATTGTGGTCATGCAGAAGAAAATGTTCGCCATATTCTTTTGGAGTGCGTTAAATACGCGAATGAAAGAGAAAAATTAAAGAACAAATTAGCAAGTTTGGACAGACGGCCCCTCACAATAAAGAAACTACTTGGACCATGGCCTGAGATGCATCTCCAGAAAAAGGCAGTAATCTTCCTGACAGACTTTTTAGTAGAGACCGGACTGGACAAGCGCCTATGACAGACAGCCATAGATGGGTATTATATAAAATGTGGTCATGTATATACTGACATTAGATTAGCAAGGTGTGCGTGTAAGTAGTTTATGACTGTGTGAACTGCGCGAAGAAAACTATGTATTGGCATGATATTTGAACTGGTTTCAGTGTGCTATTATGTTTTTTTTCTTTTCCGTATTATTAATTTTTGGGTACCATTCTGTATTATTATTTTATTTTTCGCTGCAGAACTTTGTGATATGGAGTAGCCGAGGCAATAGGCACCTCAACCTCTCCACAGCAAAACAGTTAAAACAGAACAGAACAGAACAGAACAGAACAGAACAGAACAGGGACACGGGCACAGGAAGACACAAGCTGCACCGCTTGCGTTTATTTGTGTTTGACAATCTCAGTGTTCCTTGCTTGTGTTGCTATGCAATACGCTAAGAGGGGCAATAACCCAGTTCTACTTCGTCAAGCTGAGAAACACCGTGGCCCGGGGCTGGGAATGTTAAAGCGATATCGTATAGATATTTAGAATGTGACCACGCGATCAGTATAGCGCGAGTGAAAAGCGTGGCTACGATCGGGAAACCGTGCATCTGCGTTTCATACGGCCTCGTTAAAGCCAAGAAATAAAAAAATGAATTGTAGAGCTCATGAAAAGCACAGATGTCGCATGTGCCGTTCGAAAATGCAACAGGGCAGCGGCCACAGTGGAAGTTTCCGTTAATGTCTTCCCCATTGGAAAAACTTCTTCTGTATATATATATATATATATATTATATATATATATATATATATATATATATATATATATATATATATATATATATATATATATATAATATATATATATATATTATATATTGCGGACTGTTACCAAGCACAGTTTACGAAGCTGCGTCCCAAGCGTAATTTAAGTTCACATATTAGGAACGCCTGCGCAATCGCAGCTTAGCAACGGTGAAAGCACAAAGCTCTAACGACGACATAGAACAGCTGTGTTTCTTGTCCTGCGGATTTCCACATCGTAGGAGCAAGTGTTGTGGTTTGCTTATCTAGTTCCCGCGCGTCACGCCGTTACACCCGGGAGACCAGCATGAGGCCTTAAACGAGGTCTGACCAGGTTCTCAATTCGTTGAGGCCATCGAACAGAGTCATCACTCGCAAGACGTTCGATCTGATATTTCACATAGAGTGGTTATTCATCCTCCTGCACTTTTAATTATTATTTGTTCGGCTCGTGCGTCAGTATACTTGTGCTGCACACCACCTGTCACGAGGTAACATAGTTGAAGTGAAGGTGGTCGAACGGATACACTGAGAATGAAATTCGTGTCGATGATACGGGGCGCTATGTGTCATCCGACTATTACGACAGGCACAGCTGTAACGGAAAGAAGTCGTCGTTAATTTACTGCTTTTTTTTTCTTTCATATTTTCATACGATGGGCATGACATGAACGAACTTTGTCCATGGTATCATTTATGTACTGTATTAAAGATTATTACCATTCTTTTTTTTTAAAGTGACCTGTGCTCGTAAATAGAAAATATTGATAGACAAGATGCTTTTATTGACAGGGAGGATGAAGTGAATATCACTTACCGGCAGTGACTAGTATTCTCGACTGGGTGTCGTACATTCTCTGTGCAAGTGATTCGGCAGAGTAGCCTGCAAACTGAGAAATAGAGTAGAGTAAGGTGTAGGCCACAGCGTGAACAAGCGCACCTCGGTATGTAGGTTTCAGACTCGGTCCCCTCGGGTGGCCGGCTGTCCACTTTACTTTTTCACCCGTATACAACGTTCACTTCTTAACAATCAACGTTCCCTTTACTCTCCTTTCCTGCATTCCAGGCTGGATTCCTTCAACATAGTGCCAAACATAAAAACGAGCCGTCAAAATTTTCTTCCTTAATTCGTTCACTCTGTAGAGCATTGAAGTCGGGCTAAAGGCGACGTATAATTTATCGTGCTTTTGAAATTAGAAAGTAATCCGTGAAATCTTTTTCTGGCTATGCATTCATGTAATTGCATGTCCCTTTCCATCTCCAGTGCTGCCCTTCTTTCTCACATTTTTTTTAACGAAATACAGGCTGATTTCGCGACGCTGTTGTCTACGTGCTTTCTTACAACCTCCGCATTGAGCGCAGGAATTCTTCGCTTTCTCTTGACGTTCTGCCTTTCGTTTTTCCCCTCGGTAACGTCTGTCCACAGCTAACTTGTGCGGCCACATACAACACTGTCGTAATTCACGGGGGCTTTGTCTTCTACAGCTGCAGCCTATGCGGCTATGGAACGTATGCAGCTGCTCGGGGGCAAAACGAACGAGACGCCTATGCTAATGCACCCACGTTCTACGGACCGCGTACAATGTTGCGCATACCAGCGAACGGCGCACAAGCGAAACACAACATAAAAAAACTGTGACAGGGTCCCGACTATCTCAGCCGGCTCGCCTGCCTGTAACAACCCTATACACAGGAAGCGTTGTATGTGGTGTCGCGGGCTTAAAAAGGAACATGCGACTGACGCCCTTTACCCTATTTTACATGTCAGGCGTCTTATAAGTTCTTAAATATTTTTCTTTCAAAGATTGTTCATATCGTAAAGGAAGGTTTGCAACATATCTACGACCACAACGCGCTCCACCGTAGAAGCTCAATTCGAACTGAAAACCTATTCGTCCCTCAACATAATACCAGCGCCGACTGAAAGAGCCGAACGCAAATACAAAATTCACGTATACCTCTCTTTCTCGCTTTATTTTTCTGTTCTTACTCATGAATTCTCGTAAAATGTTTGGATGCTGAGGACAACGTTTTTCTTTGTTACAGAAATGAAACGCGAGATATTGCGTGGAAAAAGCCATACCTCTAAATATAGTTCGTCGTTTTGAAATATACATATTTACATTTACGAAATGAAGCCCATCCTTCAAAGAAGGCAATCTGAAAGCCAAACATATGGTACCATTATCAATTAATGATGCGGGAAAAACAAAAATATCCGCGTTTAAGAGAGGAAAAGAATCTTCCAGTGACGCATATATTAGGTAAGGCTGTAAAAATATCTTTCATAAAAACCTCTTGACGCTCCGTACATAGAGCAGCAAATGGTTCACATGGTCTAATTCGCACCTTGTGACAACTTCTAAAGGTACGCAGATGAAATCACTAAGAAATTGCCTGAAATCATCATTACTGCGCCAAATTTCCACGACGCTATGCAAACCAGAGTGGAGTGTATTTACTTTTATTTTAGAAGAAAGTCGCAGAAGCGAAGCTAGTAAGCTTGACAAGGCCTCGGCTTGCATTTCGTTCCACTTCATACAGCTGAATATACGATGGAAGACGAAGGTAATGTGTTCACTGTTATTTTCAGTCTCATCATGTCTGCCTCTTCTGTTTCAGTATTATTTTTTTTGTCGTCAGTGAGCGTTCTATGTCGCCCTGGCACTGGCTGTGGAAGGCCTCCATCGTCTCGTGCGTTTACAGACTCCGCTCCCCTTCGCCACCTCCATTGCCCTCCCTTGCACGACAATAGAGAGTTTTAGTACTGCGTACGCTGCGTACGTGGCGGCGTTGCGTACGTAAGGACGCCACGTTCTGCGTAGTGCACATGCGCAGACCGCAACGCGCACGTATCGCGTTACGTACGCAGCTGCTACGTACGCACGCATCAGATGCGTGTGTGCGTACGTATGCGGTGATCGCGCCGCTCTCGAACAAGTTCGTGACAGCGCGAGACTTAGTTTTGCAAAATGGCGGCATCGAAGGCAAGCACCGACCGGCTATGTGGCTTAAAATATGGCCATAATGTGGCTATTACACTTAGATTGGCTCACATTGGCTGTTGACAACACGTGCTTCTATTTTGATCTACGAGATGGCGCAACACGCTTCACGCTCGTTACGTACGCGGGTACTACGGCGTACTAAAAGCCGATTAGTGGCAAACGACGCCACGTAACGCAAGGCGCTTGCGTGATGCGTACGTAGCACCATTCCGCACTACTAAAACTCTCTAATATAGAATGTACTCACAACCACGGTGTGCACGGCTCCAAGCCTGGCGCACGCCAACATTGCGACCACCAATTCGGGCACCATGGGGAGGTAGATGGTGACCAGGTGGCCTTCACAAACGCCTGCGTGAGAGGTAACGTTGTCATTTGACAACACCACTGAGCATTCAACCACACTCTCGACCGCCTACTCTTTCACTCTTGTGCATGAAAGTTCGGTGGTCCTTCAACAACATAAGTTACGAAACAAGCTCCATCGGCGTCGTCATGTGTAACACCGCACTTGTTCACTACTTATTCAACAGGTATGATAACAGTAAGTGATCATTTGGCTGACGTAACCGAGCCGCTTAAACGGAGCCCATCAGTTTCTTGCGGCAATAGTAAGCACTTTCACCTTGATGCTCAGGCAAGTCCTGCGTCCCCCGTTTCTTTTTTGTAGTGTCTGGAGAGGAGATGCGTACAGCTGACTGAGCGCGAAACTACAATGGGGATATACTGTAGTATTATATATGAATAATCCTGACGGCTCTTACTCTTTCAAAGATTGTTGTTAACTTTGGTGGGATGATATATACGACCGTATTGTTTCTGAATTTGTAGGGCGTTCACAGATGGAAATGCAAAAATTTATGGCTGAGTAATGCTCGTAGTTTCGTTTTCAAAGTCGACATCCTATGTCGCGCAGGCGTAATTTTGACTCGGACACGTACGTCCAAACCGACATTACCGCCCCACCGCGGTGGTCTAGTGCCTAAGGTACTCGGCTGCTGACCCGCAGGTCACGGGATCGAATCCCAGCTGCGGCGGCTGCATTTACGACGGATGCGAAAATGTTGTAGGCCCGTGTGCTCAGATTTGGGTGCACGTTATAGAGCCCCAGGTGGTCGAAATTTCCGGAGCCCTCCACTACGGCGTCTCTCAAAATCATATGGTGGTCCTGGGACGTTAAACCCCACATATCAATCAATCAAAACTGACATTACCATAGTGGCGGTATATGTAGCGACATTACTCTGTTATCACGAACAACTGCTCATAGCAGTCATTGTACTAAATAAATGCCCCCACCTCTTTGAAGGGAATCGTGAGGGAATGCAAATGCATTGTGTAGCGTCCATAATGGCCTTTCGCACGTGAGAACCCAGCGTTAGAAGAATAATGTTTTTTTTTTTTTCACACCATGCAGCCAATAGCGCCGTTCACCGCACGTGGCGTTTTTCTGTCGCGAGAAACGCGGTATGCGTTTCCAGCTCTAGTAGCTAGCCTGCACGGTTAAAAAAATACTGATAATAATAAATGAGCTGAACAAAACAAACAGTGTTCTTAGCTTGTCATTGGCATTTCACAGTGGCGTCTCGAGCAAACATTTCCGGATGTTCTTGAGAGTGGCCCAGCCAGTGAACGGTTGAGAGTGAGGCGCAAGCGGACGGGAAAGTGGGCCGCAGGGAGGAGAGGGAGCGAACGCCGAGAGAAGGAGCGGCGAAGCCAACCCCGACTAAATTTCAAAATGAAATTTAGTCGGCGTTGGCGAAGCACTCACTGCACCTGCCCTCTCGTACGTTGCTCGTACACTTTCTCGCACCGCATGTTCTGGTTGCTAGGGGTGAGGATAAGCGGGCGCGCCCACAGCAGTTGCTATGGGAGAGGGAGAGCGAAGAGATAACACCTGCCGGCACACCGACTCCGCAGCGGGCGTCGCGGACAACGTTGGATGCCTGACATAGCACGACAGAAGTTCATTGTCATTTGAAACCGTCTGGCCAGTGCGCCATGCGCAGTAGTCACAGCGATAGCTAAAAGGGTGGCCTTTCAGAGCCTTTTTTAGACACTCTTTGGTTAACTGCGACCGTCACAATTGTAAGGTACCCGCCAAACAATAAATACTCAGAATTTTTGTTTAGTGGGGTGGCATTCACTATGCCATCCTTCTTCATTCTTCGATGAAACGTGGTACCCGCTACACAATTGCAGGGAATCTTGTGCATTTTCATGCTGTGGTTGACGACGATGAAGAATTATGCCTGAAGCGTTAGTAATTGGTTGGAGAATACTACGACCCACTTCTCACGCAATTCAAATTGTTTGATGCCCTATTGTTTCCTGGCTGTTCTAAAACGCTTTGTTACTCATACTGACGAGATTGCTTTCCCGACATCAAGCCTGTCTAGCGTTATTTTGCGACGGAGTTTCAAGCGTTTTGGGGGCACATTTTGTGGTACCCTTGTATTTTGTCGAATATGTAAAGTGCGAATCGTCTCGATATGCAAGGCAATGAAGAGTGAAAAACGGGGTGGCTCAGTGGTCGAATGCGTGGCTGGCTGGCACACAGGGGTTCCCGGTTTGAATCTCATCGTGTCTTTGGTGTTTTCATTCACTTAGTTATTTTTTTCTTATTTTGCACGATAGTAGTCACACATACCGGTGGTGGGCAACTACGGCGCACGCGACTCTTGTTGTGATCGCTGTGAAAATTACGAAACGTTTCCATCACTGAATCCCGCACACATATACAGTGATTTGGTTGGAGTCAGCATATAAGAAGGTCTTTATAACTCTGTATAGCGAGTGCTGTTTTTTTTTCTCTTACATATCAGGGTATAAGAAAGGGGTCCAGACACGCGTCCCACTAACTGTTCGTTCGCGGCCACCACATGACGGGCTTCGTCCCATATTTCTGTTAAGACTTTGTGACTGTTTGTCATGATTAGTAAATATTACTCGCATTATTTTCTCACCTGTCGTGGTAAATACAGGCGTGACCTGCCTTAAACATTTTCTTCGTGAGACATGCAGTCACCTTCAGGATCAGCGCCCCGATTTTAGACATAGTGTAAATCTCCAGATATGGGGAAGGCCTGCTTTCAAATCGGCGCGTTAGAAGAAACTAGCAACACTTCTTTTTAACAACCTTTATTCCCCTCACCCCTTTTCCACAGCACAGGGTAGCCAGCCGGTCTAAGAACTGGCTAACCTCCCTGTCTTTCCGCCTAAACTTTCTTCCTCCTCCTCCTCCTTGCTCGACCTCTCGCTTCCCATTTCTTCACTGTACCAAACCTCTGGGAGACTACATTTTATGACTTCAGCCCAGCAACTGATGTGAGTTTGAGACCACTGTTGCAGAGACTACGGCACACCTCAAGAACTTCCATAAGTAACCGGCAGTCAGCTTGAAAATCGCAGGCAAACGAAGCCCGTATAGCTTTGACAAAAAAGCACACTAGCGTTCTCCGCACATTTATCATATCTGCTAGCGGTGACACTATCTGTAATATGAACTAATGTTTTCGATTTATCCTTGTTGTACCAGAACTCTGTACAAGTACTCGGCGCTTGCCAGTTACTGGACGCAACACCATTTACGTCATGTATGGAAGAAGACCTGCGTCGCACCTTTTGCCTTGAGAACGTTGGCGAATCTGCAGACATCGTCCAGCAGCTGCCCGTAAGTAATGGTCTTTTTGTCCAAAGGGTTGTTGCCTTCCCTGGAAGAGAAGAGAATATTTGTAGACAAACAAACAAACAACTTCTCTGTGAGTTTATGGAGAATCATAAAGCAGCGTATGTGCTTCCTCGCGCACTGCAGGTACTTGCAGCAACCAATCGGTGATCGATATTACTTTGACCGATAGAATCGCTGTTCCCGTAAATGCATAGCCACTGAACTCGAAATATAGTGGACAGATTTACCTACATCAAATGATGGGTGGTGCTGCAGCAGTAGAAAAATCGATTTGACGTCCGCTGATACTGGGGACGAAAAACGCAGTTGGCACTACTTGAATCAATTTTAGCGGGTTCAAAATACTTTATAAAAGCACTTTGAGAGCATTGCGTAAAAAGTGGACGTCAGCATTCGTGTTTTCAGGCTATCAGAGATTGTGTCTAAGATACAAAGGCTCTATGCTGAGGTGTTACATACAGGCGCTCAAGCTTTTCTTTTTTTAGAGGCGAAGCTCAATAGGCCGTGGATCGGTGCCTAATTTGTAGTAGTAGTAGTAGTAGTTGTTGTTGCTGTTGTAGTAGTAGTAGTGGTAGTAGTAGTAGTAGTAGTAGTAGTAGTAGTACTAGTAGTAGTAGTAGTATGTAGCCACCTCTTGTTTATCAGTTGCTCAATAGATGGCGTTGTGCGTATATGGCCTTTGTAATAATATGACTAGCTGGCGTTAGTGGTTTTCACAGCATATCCATGGAGCGAATGATGATGAGTGGGCTTAAGCGTCCGTCCATCCGTCCGTTCGTGTGTCCATCCATCATTCCATTCATCCATCCATCCGTTGTTCCCCCCGTTCATCCTTCCGTGCTTGCGTCTACCCGTCTGTCCGTCCGTGCTTCTGTCCTTCGGGACGTCCTTGCTTTTGTCTGTATGTCTGTCCTTGCATCCGTTCCTCTGTCCGGATGTCCGGATGGATGAACACGCGGACGGATGGACGCTTCGCCCCGCTCTTCCTCATTCACTCCTAGAGTATGCCGTGATTTTTTATGTGCGATAGAAAAAATGACGACTCTGGAAGAGCGCAAAGGAAGAGGAAAGGGCTGGGGTAGGAGAAATAAAATAAAATAAAGCATTTGTACTGGGTTCATGATATCATCTTCAAGATGCATGTCACCGACGTAAAGCGTGTATCAGACGCCTGTTTTCAAGTTTTCCGAGGCTTTTCGAAGTAATTCCGAGGCTTTCTGAAGTTGAACCCCGCACGTACGCTGGTAAACTCACTAACGAACAAACAGGTTAAAAAAGAAACCTCATCACGGAAGCGATGCGAAAATTCCTTGATAGATATAGTGAGAAAAATTTTGTCTATTGTCAAGGTCATGGGCTTCAGTGCAAATTTTCATTTTATCACGAACGTGTTTTATGGCAGAGTCTACTACAGCTCAGCTGATGTACTTCTGTCACGGAACTGACAATGAAAAATATATGGTATGAAATTGCAGAGAAAAAAACCACAAGGCGAGAATTTGTCGCACTGAATCGTACCAACAACCTCTCGATTTCCACCCAGTGCGCGGCGCTAACCACTACACCACGGAGAGGGCATCATTGGGAGTGCTAACGGCAAGCCATTTGTATACATCATACGCCGTTTGGCAGTCTCTGGAGCTTCAAATCTTTAACGCGTTTTCGTTATCAGTGGCAAGGTGACGCGACATGCTCGCGTTGGGCGCGCTTTAAATGTCGTTGTCGTCAAAGAGCGTGGTCTCTCCTGCGCGTGCGCTTTGGGAGAGGACGAAGGTCACTTCGCACGCTGCCGCGGCCGTGTTTACAAAAGGAGCGCGGGGTTGAAGCACGACGCAAGAATAATTGTGACAGTTGTTCCCACTTGTCTTGTGTATATTTGTGCACTCGCTTCGCGTGTCTTTCTTGCTGTTTGAACGGCGCACTTTAAGTGTTGAGCTTTGACAGTGGTTAGTCCGCAGATCGTCCAGCGTTTACTAATTTCGTGCTTGCTTTCTGCTTGAGGTGCGCGCTGCAAGTTTTTAGCTGCTTGCCGTTCTTAAGGTGACTTTTAAATTTGCTGCTTTTGCTAAAACAATGCACAATAATGCTTAGCTACCTCTGTAAAGACACGTTTCACTTTCGTGTTATATTGATTCCTTTATAGAAGGATCAGCCACGTTTTTTTAAAGACGATAGTCTTTCTTGGAATACTTCGACGCAAAAAATTTGGTCTGTCTGTCTGTCTGTCTGTCTGTCTGTCTGTCTGTCTGTCTGTCTCTCTGCCTGTCTGTCGACTTATTTGTTTGTCCCCCGAGACGGCATGCTTTTTTTTAATTTATTCTGTTTGCATTTATTTCCAAAATCTAACCACAACCACATCTGCAGCGCCCACTAGTATTGCTTCGGTCTTTGCGTTCATACTTGTGCGTAGTATCGATATAAAAGGAAGTGTTGCGCATATCTGAGGCAGAACATCTACACGTCAATGTACTGTGGTGTCTTTCCTGATACTATAAAAGCCATACATAAGTAATTCTAAAGAACGTAGACTTTATTACGCTCAGCCGACAATGCCACGCTACGCACGAAAAAGATGGCAGATCCCAGGTACAATGGGAATCGATGGTATGCGAAGCATGAATGAGGAAGTTTGGTATGTCACTTTAAAATCTGCACAACGTCACGAGGTGGACGTAAATTATGCTGTACATTACTTCCATGTCATGATTATAATGTTTAGACGTGCCATTTACCTTCATTGGGTATTCACGTCACGTGATACCAAATTGGCATATGTGGAGCCAGCAAAACGGCAGTCAGCACGCTATGAGCGCAGTGTGTATGTTATAAATGACCCGCATATCATGATTATTATGCTTGGACGTGTCATTTACCATCGTAGTCTATTCACGCCATGCAATACTAAGTTTGGTATGTGTACAGCTAGCGAAACGGCCGCGAACACGCTATAAGCGTAACATGTAGCCATGTTTTGCACGACACGCATATCATGATTAGTATGTTCAGACGTGTCATTTACCTTCGTCTTCTATCAAAATCACATGATACGAAATTTGGTATATGTGGAGCTAGTAAAATGGCTGCGAGTGAGCTATGAGCATAACATGTAGTCATGTTTTACATGACACGCACGCCATGATCATCATGTTTGGACATGTCATTTACCTTTGTCATCTATTCTCGTCAAGTAGTACCAATTTTTATGTGAAGCTAGCAAAATGGCCTAGAGCACATCATGAGCATGGTACATTGTAATGTTCTGACATGACACGCATGTCATGATTATTATGTTGACACCACTCATATACCTTCGCCATTCATTTAGGTCACGTAACGTCAAATTTGGTGCAAAGCTAGCGAAACAACCACGAATGCACTATGAGCGTAGCATGCAGTAATGCTTTACATGACACGCATGTCGAAATTATCATGTTTGGACGTGCCATTCACCTTCGTCATCCGTTGGCGTCACGTAATACCAAATGTGTTATGTGTGAAGCTAGCGAAACGGCCGGTAGCGCATCATGAGCGTGGCATGTAGTCATGACTTACATGACATTCATGTCATGATTTCCATGTTAGCATCTGTCACTTGTGTTCGCCCTGTCATACCATACCAGTTTTTCAATATGTCATACTGTGGGCATTTAAAGCACGCTTCTTCATCACCTGTACAAAACCATCATCACTTAGTGTTCTTCATCTTCATCGTTAGTGGGGATGACCTTTGAGTCGGTTCTGTGCCTCTGAAGTAACTGTTTTTTGGCCACGTCTTCCAGACCTAATAAAGGCGTGTAAAGGACTACGTCGCAATATGAACGAAATGAAATGTAAATCATGACATACATGTCATGATGTTCACGTTATGACTAGTCACTTATGTTCGTCATATAGTCATGTTATGTCATACCAATTTTGGTATCGATACCATTACCGAAACGGCCAGGAGCGCTAAAAGTCGTAGGTGGCTAGATAGATAGATAGATAGATAGATAGATAGATAGATAGACAGATAGATAGATAGATAGATAGATAGATAGATAGATAGATAGATAGATAGATAGATAGATAGATAGATAGATAGATAGATAGATAGATAGATAGATAGATAGATAGATACGCTCAAGGTCGCCGAAGTTCGCTAAGAAATGCTTCGCATTTAAAACGAGCACTGCGTGTAATTACTTCCACACCAGGGCATCGTCCTTGTTATACTTTATTTCAAATACTGCGTATAAGGTCGTTTATGGACGTACGCCATTACAAAATTTTCTGTATAGTGGATAGAATAGTAAACACAGACACCCCCTTGGCCCGTGGCATTATCACGTTACCATCGCTAAACACACGTCACGCCAGCGTCGATGATCTTAACCTCCCTATGTGTTAAAGGTGTGTACCGTGAACGACTAATGCAACTTTCTGGAGCTAAGCTGTGGAACAGATTCACCCTTGAAATAAAAGTTGCAAAAAATTTTAACGCTATACCTGCAAACAATACTTAGTTTCCAACATTGCATTTTGAGTTTTTATTGGCCCCTAAAACACTTTTTTGTACAAAATCGGTGTACTCCTGGTAGTTATGTGGTTGGTTGTTTTTTCAGTATGGCTCTTTGAGTTTGTTTGATATTTTATGTAGAATATATATATATATATATATATATATATATATATATATATATATATATATATATAGTGAGTTCATCATTATTATTTCTTTTTGTCATGTATATTTAATGTGTTTCTTGTTTTCGGCATGGTTCTTTCAATGGGTATAATATTTGTCGCTTCTCATATTACTTTCACTATTGTTTTTTTTTTTCTGTGAAGACTGCTGATTCTTGCAACCTTTTTTGTATTGGATGCATCACTAGCCGCTTAGTATATGGGACAAAATATTTGTACACGCATTTTTAAAATATTATGGTGCAATAAAATCTCTTTTCGATTTGATTCAATTTACAAGTCGCTCTTAGGAAATATAGATGGCACCACCACGTGACATGACGCCAGTGACTAGCT